TGTGTGTGTGTGTGTCATGTCGCCGTGGAATCAAGCGCTCGTCAATTTGTAGGCATGTGGAGCTATTAGTATTATCTGAAAAGTTATTCGTTTGCCTTGCTTTCTATGTAAATAATACCCTCTTATCTTAACTAGAAGTTGAAACATTTGCGATTGAAGGAGGTGGGGGTAGCCTGATTTCACAGATAGAGTTACCTCGAAAATGGCTGCCAAAGTCTGGTAACTTCTATAGCTTGAGAGTCCTTGAAAACTGAACATTTACGTGTTTTGTGCCATTGATCAACGTCTTTCAGTAAAATTCACATGGAAATGTGCTTTTATACGGACACAAAAAGTGTTGAGCCAAAAAACAAAATTTTGGTTAAAATTGCCAAACTGGATGAAAAAATTTCTTTGATTTTATTTTGACGAGCGCCTGATTTAACCGCAATGGCTCACACACACAAACATATATGAAGAGCACAAGGGAAAAACGACAGACGTCGCAAACTGGAAATTGTGAGGCTTCCAATTTCAAAAGTTCGTGGACTCATAACTTGATATTTGTTTGACTGGTGGTTTAGTGTTGTTGAATGGGAAATCTGACAACAATAATCAACCAACAGTTGAACAGAAATACAGTTATGAGTCAACTAGCGTTCAGAATTGGTAGGCTGCCCTCACGATTTTCAGTTTGTGACTACCGTTGATTTGCCCCTGTAGTCTTCATATATATATATATTAATGTACTTACAATAATTTATTGCAAATGACAGTAATGACTCTATTTGTTGTGTCTGTTTTCTTCCCGTCGTAAGACGAAGGCGCACTGTTTTCTCTATTGTGGTCTTATTCAGTTCAATGTTAAGAATGTCATGCTCTTTGTCTTGTGAGAGGGTGAGTGGTTGGCGGGTGCTCTGGTGTGGTCTGCTTCTTCTTTCCTATCAAACATCTATCGTCCTTATCTCCCCTTCTTCTTTTTTATGTTTGTTACTCGCTTGTAACACCTCTATTCTTCTGGCGCTCATATTACCTTATGCAGTTGCGAGTGCCGTAAAACTCTACTAAAACTGTCTTGTGAGGTATGGCCACAATAGCAACCTGTGCTGTCTCGCTGTGCTCTCATGGTGTATCTAGCTAGAGATGTAGCTCTTTATCTAATCTGAGTCTGTGGAATGTAACCGGGGTTTTTTTTTCTTTTGAGCGGGTGGTTGTTGGGCGTCACTGGTAAAGCCTGCTTCTTTTCTTTCCTTTGTTTGTTTTTGTCCGTTTGTTTTACTCTTTCTTTGCATGATAATGACCGTTATAATGTCCATGAGCTTTTCTTGATGCGCAGACACAAATAAGTCAACAATATTTCTTGTTCTGTTTCTTTTTTATGTCTTGTAAACCAGTTTATCTATGATATCACAATTTGGGGGGTGAGGGGGTTGGCAGGTGCTGTGGTGTGGTTTGCTTCTTCTTTCCTATCAAACATCTACCGTTCTTATCTCTCCTCCTTATCTTTAGTGGATATTGCTCTCTTGTAACACATTTATTCTCCGGCACCTATGTGAGTTTATTGTGTTGCAAGTGCCGTAAAATGCTTACTATAACGAAGGACTCACAATTTGACCATTTTTTCCCCCCACAGGTCTGGCAGTAACTGATGGAGGAAGATACACACCACAGTGAAAAGTGTTCTTTGGTTCCCCACTTTAGCAGCATGTGTGTGTGTGTGTTTGTGTGTGTGTGTGTGTGTTTCTGTCTGTGTTTGTGTGTTTATACGTATTTTTCTCCTCTTTGTGCGTGTATATGAGTGTGTGTGTGTGTGTGTGTGTGTGTGTGTGTGTGTG